GTTTGCTAGAAAATTTTAAAATTTATTATTTTAAATTTTATTATATCATGCAAAAGTACTTATAAATATCAAGTTCTTAAATAAATTTTATTTTATTTTAGTAATAAGTAATAAATTATTCAATATAATTATACATTTTTGAGATATAACTATTAAAAAATTGGTTAGCATCAATATTACTGTGTTAACAAAAATAAAAGTTATTAAATTGTGTTGTAATGTCAAATTTGATAAATCCCTCTCTAAAAATGGCATGTTAACTGAGTGAATTTCATTTGTATCGAAGAATCGAGGCCTCTTTTTCGCGATGCTGATTAATTGTCTCGAATTTTGCATCGCGGCGTGTTTCACTCTTGTGTCGCTTCTGTGGCTGTCAATTTCATGTAATGAAAAAGCTAAATGGCGCGCGCGTAGCGCACGCTTGTAGTGTTCTAGTCCTCTTCTAAAAAGGGCATGTCGTAGGTATTGTTGTCACTTTTCCGCGATGCCGATTGGTTCTCTTGCTGCGCTTACTTCATTTGCAGCTGTCATTGTATGTTTTGACAGTTGTGTGTATCAAGGGTTAATAGTGTAATAGTAATAACATAATGTTAAAGCTAAATAGCGCGTCTGTCGTGTCTAGTTAAATAAAATTTAAATACTATTTTTTTTTAAATTTAACACATCTTTGAGATGCTGTGATGTAATTGTGTCCGAAATTATTTATCGGGAATTATTATTAGGAGGGTGACCCACCAAGCTTCTTGTGGAAACTGGGCTACTGGTGGTAAACAAACCAAAAGACAATGAAATTAACACATAAAAATAGGCACATAAAATGTCCGCGGCCTGCTACAACCAGAAAAGCGGGAGACAGTGGAATCTGAAATGCAAAGATGCGGAGTGGAAGGACTGGGTCTGAGTGAAACGGATCTCAGAGATAGTAGACACTTTGAAACTAAAAATGGAAACATGATATTCCTTGCTGGTAACGGTGAAAAGAGCAGCAATGGAGTTGGGTTCATTGTTGCAAAAACCGTGAAAAACTGTGTACTGGGCTATGAGGCGATTGGTGACAGAATAATCAGGATTAGAATTGGTGTCCGCCCGCACAACCTAAACATCATCCAAGTATATGCGCCTACAGTCGAGTGTACGAAGGAGGAAATCTCTAAATTCTACGCAAAGCTTGAGACAACCTGCCGTATGGGACAGAGAAAAGAGACCACCGTGTTGCTGGGCGACTTTAATGCGAAGGTGGGAAAAACTACGCACGATACACACCTTAGCCAAACAGTAGGGAAGTACGGTCTGGGGGCCCGCAATGAAAGAGGAAAATTGCTTCTGCAATTCTGCATAAGTAATCAATTTACCATCATGAATACTTGGTTCAAGATACACCTACGGCGGTTGTATACGTGGACGTCACCAGGAGGTACATACCAAAACAAAATTGACTACGTGTTAATTAACACCAGATGGCGCTCATCCATTACTAATACCAAGACATTACCCGGGGCGGATTACAGAAGCGACCATCAGTTACTGGTTGCGGAGTTTAAAGGCCAGCTCAAAGTCATCCATAAAGCTAGTAACAACAGGGCACTACACATGCATGCTGATGTAATGCCGCAATTCAAGCGGGACATGGGGACTAGGCTTCTAGGAATGGAGACGGATTTATCGGAGTCAGTCAATGATATGTGGGTCAGGCTGAAAACAGTCGTCGTGGACTCAGCGGAGGCCATTGTGAAACAACGCCGAGGTCCACACAGTAGACCTAACTGGATGAGTCAGGAGACCTGGTCCGCCGTCCTACACCGCAGGACCTTAAAAGGATAAAAGGGTAGTATAGGAAGGCCGGTTCGAGACCATGGTGCTCCGCGCGGGGGTGCGGGGCGAGGGAATTTCGGCGGCAAGAGGATTTTAGCGGGGAGGGGAGCCATCACGCGGGTACAAAGGCGAGCTTTAGGTTATAATTATGGCGAAGACCATTTTTTCTAGGTTTGCGTTCAAAAAAAATCAACAAAAAACCATATTTTACGTGACTTAAACTATACATTTTTAGTTTAATTCTGGAAGAGGTTCTTTCAAGATTGATCTTGGTTTTTTTTTTTTCAAATATATCATTAGACTCGTGAAAATGTCAATAAATTAATTAAACTTATCAACGCGGTTATTGCGATAAATATTACCACATGCCTCAGTCGAATTGGTACGACGCCCTTCACGGAATGAGGGAGGTTCCAGGTTCGAATCCTGGCTGAGGTAATATTTTTCGCAATAATTTTTTTACAATTTTAAATAATTTAATCGTATAGATTTAATTCCGGGGAGGGAAGGGTATTAATGTTCCAACGATAGCTGTGTTTTAAGTCCGACAAATAATCGGCGCGCAGTTTATTAAGTTGGAATATATGTATATACGTATATACATTGTAATTCGTTACTTCTGTAACTATTAATTCTCTAGTTGTGCACCACGTACCGCGCTTGACTCGTATCGCTGTCTTTTAATTAATTTATTTGTTTTTTTTTTACGTGTGGTGTGTTGAGCTACATTCGTCCACGTAGCTGCTCAGCGTTTGATTGGCTCTCCCCTACCTAAGGTGTCCAGCGTCATTTTGGCGGAAGCACGTGGTAGACGACGCTAAACTCAAAAAAGGTTAGGATGCTGAGATGTCAAAGATAGAAAGCGGAATTTTTAAGAGCGTCTTGCCACGAGAGGAAGGGAGGGAAGGGAGTAAAGACAGAAACAGTTAGGGTGAGCGCTGAGACGTGACGCAATCCAACCCTGTTTTTTGTATCAAAGAGTTTCTTATGATTTGTGCCTGGTCACAGAATTTACGAAATAATCAAATACGGTTGGTTTCACAAAGTTTTGCCTACGTGAGACTTATTTCCTGGGGAAATGATGGTGGAAAACAGTAACAAACAAATTCTTTGTTTTTGCGCCGATGCACATTTGTCCGATAATTTGTTAAGAAAGAGCAAATGTTATGGAGGATTCACACAGAGTCCGGCGTCCGACGTACGACGTCCGATATCCAATAGGGGAGCTCGATTTCTGGAGAGTGTATCACGTGACATTTTCATCGTACGATGCTGCTCGTCGTACGAAATGTTTGTCAAGTTTTTCGTACGACGTACGACACACTTATAAAAAAGCACGTCATGTAGTTAAGGGGGTCGTCTGGTCAAGAGGCTGTTTTTTGGGGGGAATTTTTTGTAAGGAATCATAAGAATACACTTTTTTGAAACTTTTACATCATATTTATTGATATTTGAAGAGTATTTAGAAATTTTTCCAAGTTGATATATGGCCAAGAATCCGCTGTAGAGCGCCCCAAAGACAACTGTGTAAAAAAACGGTACCCACGATTTCGGATATCCAGTTCATTAAAAAAAAAAAAAAAAAAATTCCTTTTAATCTGTGGATGTGTGGCTATCGTGTGAACTAGAACCAAA